AGGGAAAGCATGGTCCCTGCAGTGAAATGGACCCTTTACTATTGTACAAGAATGGAAAAGGAAGAGTGTATTAAAAGACAATTAAATATGGGCAAGGCATGAATGACATAATGTATCAGAGCTCACCAAACTACCTCTACCAGCAACAAAGCTGAACAGAATTCCAGGGGAGGAAAAGCCCCTTAAGCAATTCCCCCCACTGACACTATATAGATTTTCCTGTAAACTTGGGAGAACCCCCCAGGTTTACAGAAGAATCTGAAATCTTAAAAAATACATTGGGGGTTTAAGTTCCCCCAAAAGGAAAAAGCAGTGTCCACGCATGTACAAACAACTCATTTACTTTCTCTGGAGATGGCTGCAGTGGCATCCAGAAAACGCTCTGGGCCTGGCAACAGGAGAGCTGCTCAAGGCCTGAATCAGCTTCCAGACAATGCTCCCTCTAAGTTGTGGAGTCTTGTGAAGAAAATTCCACTTTGTGAGCTACTGGCATTAAAGTTGTGAGTGAGCGATTTGGCTATTGCATGAATTAGTTTGCTCTGGAGCCATCCTTCCTGAGCTAAGACAAAAATGTGTGAGCCAGAGGCTAAAAACTGTGAGCTAGCTCACATTAACTCAGCTTAGAGGGAACACTAACGGGGGGAATACTGACAAAAAGGGAGAGAGAAAGGGGGGTTGTCAGAGAAGGGGAATGGGTGATTGACAGAGAAGGGTAGGGGGCAAAAGCGAGGGTTGGTTGACGGATAAGGGGAGGGGAGGAAGAGGGGGAGAAAAAGAGAGAGGCATAGGTTGAGAGATAATGAGAAGGGGAAAAATAAAGAGGGGGGCATTGACAGAGAAGGGGAAGGGATAGATTGACAGAGAAGCGGAGGGGGTAGAAAGAGAAGTGGGGAAAATTGATAGTAGGGTAGTGGTGAGAAAGAGAGAGAAGAATGTTAGCAAAGGGGGAGAGGGAAGGAAACAAGGAGGAGGGGTGCACCCTCCCTGCAAGTTTCTTGTGGGTCCCCACTTAGTTTTATATATTTGATGACTAAGCAGACTAAGCAATGGGTGTGGGGGGCAGAGCAAGTATGATTTCATTCTTCTTGTGCTAGCAGACCAGAAATACACATAGGTGAGGCTAACTTTCCTGGGTGCCAAAATGGAGGCCGCCTCATGTAAACAGAAGCTGGTGACATCAAGCAGGTGAAACCTTAGGAAACCACAGTGAATATATGGGTTCATCATGCCTTTCTAACATAAACAGGAACAGTTAAAAACTAAGATCTCATACTGGTAAGGATGCCATCTGCAGGTATCTTCGCACACACTTTTTCAAAGAGGATAAATTTATATCCATACTAACTTCAGCATTATAGCACTTCCATATTATACCATTTACACTACTGTGTCAGCAAAAGATAAACAGCTGTTGTTCCTTCTGTTTTGTACTCTGGCTAGCAATGAAAGCAGCAGTCATTCCTCGCTCCTTTGCACTGAGCAAGTGACAGTGCTTTTGAAGACGGTGTTCTAACTATTCCGGTCTGGAAAGACAGAAGTGGCTACATTCTATTCACAACTATATGCATTCGTTCTTGGAAGGGATAATTAGCAAATGTTGCAAACTAGTACTGGATCTTCTAGTACTAATTTCACACTGAAGTACCTAGCCAAGCAGGAGAACATTCAGCAGTAAAACTTTAGCACGCACTCAAACTAAAATAACAAAAACAAATATTACAGCCGAACATAGCTTGCTTATAAGTTGACCAACCTAGACAAATGGGTTTAGTGCCATTAGAATAAGGATTAGAGCTGCCAACCATTCATTAGTTTACTGAACTGACAAGAAGAACCACGTCCTGGCAGGCAACCGACTGCACCTACTGATGCCCACAACACCCTCTCATAGCCTCTAATGTTCTGCAGCAACAGTTTTACCCCCATGTCTCCCAAAAGGGCTAACTCCAAATTTGTTTGGGTCTCTGCATATAAAGGCCCTGCATCCTGATCGCATACCTCCCTTTGGTAATGACCACTGATCATATGACAGCTGCCTCTTAGAAAGGGGGAGGGGGCTGAAATAAGGTAGACACCCCTTCCAATCACACATCTCCAATCTAGGGAAACAGGGTGCTTTTAATTTTTTTTTTTAACTCCAAGAATGTTAGCAGTTATATATTTTTGTTTTGTGCTTAAAGGCAGAGTACTCAGGCACCCTTCCCTCCCTCCCCATGAGATTTTTTTTAAAAAGAATAAGAACCTACAGGAACATCCATTTCTGAAGAATGTGCTGCTCTGTCTGAAAGGCTGTAAGAGACATAGGATAGCAGGCAGTTGAGTTGTCTGGACTGTACCACTTGTTTGGGCTCCCCAGTTCACCTTGTTCTTGCCACCTCTGTTGTTACAGCAGCTGTTAACAGTTCCCAAGAAGGTTTGCAATAAGGGAATTAATAAAATGTACAATAATAATTAAAAAAAAACCTTAGCTGTGGTGGCAGAAGGCAGCAGCAGACTATGGGATGTTCAGCCTTCTCCCCAGTTCTGCAATGTTGCTGCATTTTCCTTCTTCCCCCTGCTCCTTTGGGGAAAGGCTCTAGCAAATGATGTTAATTTCCCTAAGTGGAAGATGACAACAACATGGCCAGGGGTTTTGCTTGGCTATGGACAGGAAAGAGTTCATTTCTCCCCTAATGATTTCTCTTGCCACACTGGGAACCCATGCACTAAATCATTTTTTTATACCCCGCTTTTATGCCCT